GAGCAAATGAGCTCCGAATTGAGCATATGATAATTTGTTGAAAAGGGAATTAAGTAAGACAAAGATCTAATCTGAGAAGCAGGTTTGGTTGCGATTGGTTTGGTCGCAGAAAAATTTAGAGTGAAACATGTCTGAATTGGTAAAAACGTAAAGTTTGGAAATTGGCTAAGTGAGTTTATGGGAACTCTTTAGTAACTTATAATAAGTAATGTGAGTTATAAAAATAGTTTAAATAAGTCTTCCGCAAGAGTTTACGGTTACGGTCACAGCTTTTAATTATTACGCCTTTTTATGTTTTAAATGCTCGCGTAATAATCGGAAAAAGTTTATTCGCATTTTTATAAATGAACTGCTGTGATTGTAACTGCGCTTAATATCATAATTATTGTTAACAATACCGGTGTACAACGGGCTGTTACAGTGTGTCTGTGAATTGGTTAATTCCATTGACCCCAAGCTCCCTATTTATAACCTTTGAAGCCATATCTTTTAATTCTTCATCAAATCTCCCCATGAATCTCTATCAATTCCTAATCAAATGTTGATTTGTTTCTGTTTTTATTTAAGATCCTACAGATTGGGCTGACAGATTGAGCTTCAAATCTTTGTTATGATTCCTTTATCACTTCTTAGCACCAAATCTTGTGGATTTAGCTTCAAAATAAGCAAGATATCAAAACATTGGCTCAATTCTCAAATCTTTATTATTTTATCATATAACACCTTGAATTCCATGCAATCTACCATATAATCTTTATGTAGTTTGGCCTAAAAACATGGTAAATCAAAGGGTTATCATAAAGCATGAAATTGAAAAATTGAAAAGGGACTTAGAAAAATTCAGATATGCTTGGGAAAATTTGAATGGGATGCTTGGTAGGCTATGAAAAGCATATGCATTATGATTATGTTAAGAATACCCCACATGAATACTATGCTTACATGTCAAAAAGTCCATTTCTAAAATGCAATTATTGTGGAAGAAAAGGGCATAAAGCATATCATTGTAAGTTAGGAGAAATGTCAAAGGTTATAAGCAAATTTGGGTTGTTAAGGGCACCTTACTCCCACATTTTTCATATGTTTCAAGGCTGCCCAGGGCTAACCAATAAGGACCCAAAAGGATTTCAGTACCAAAAGTTCATTGAAATGACTTGTTTTGTAGGTACAAGTATGATTGAAAGCTAAAAATACCAAATTGTACCTTGATAGCGGATGCTCTAAGCATATAACCGAGGATGTCACTACATTCTCATCAATTGTAATGAAACAACATGGACATGTTACCTATAATTGAGGCAAGATAGTTGGCGTTGGGAAAATTGATAATTCTTCAACTGCTTATATACTAAGGACGTGCTACTAGTAGAAGGTTTTAAACATAACTTACTTGTCATCGGGCAATTATGTGATAAGCAATTTAAGATCACTTTTGATTCCATGACATTCAATATCATTAGTATGGTTTATGGTGGAGTTAAATTCATATGTCATAGAATTGATAATGTATACATGCTTAACCTAGATGATTTTACTTCACATGACTCTAAATGCTTTTTGAGTAAGGATGATGAATCATGGTTATGGCATAGGCGCGCATTTCATATATTGGGATAAGTCATCTTAATAAGCTTATTAAAAAGGACTTAGTAATTGGATTGCATAAGCTCACGTTTGAAAAAGAAAATATTTGTGATGCATGTCAAAAAAGGGGGAACAAGTTAAAACATTATTTAAAAGTAAAAATGTTGTTTCCACTTCTATCTTAATAAGTTACTACACAAGGACAATGAGTTTTGGTAGTAATTACTATCTTGTGATTATTGATGACTATTCTAGATTTACATATAGATTGTTCTTACCTCACAAGAATGAAGCATACCATTCATTTAAGAAATCGACAAATTATGTTATGAATGAAAAGAATATAAAAGTTGTGCATATTAGAAGTGATCATGATAGTGAATTTGAAAATCAATCGTTTGAAAAGTATTGTGAAAAGCATGACATAGGGCATAACTTTTCCTCTTCAAGCACTTCTCAACAAAATGGAGTTGTTGAAAGAAAAAGCCGCACTTTAAAAGAATTGGCTAGAACTTTGATTAATGAAAATAATCTTCCTAAGTATTTTTGGGCAGATGCTGTTAGTACCACATGTTATGTCATAATCGTGCATTGATTAGACTAATATTGAAGAAAACCTGTATAAACTCTATAAAGTTAGAAAGCTTAGCATTGCATATTTTCATTTCTTTGGTTGTAAAGTCTATATATTAAATAATGGTAAGGATAACCTTGAAAAGTTTGATACTAAAGCAGATGAAGTAATATTTATTGATTATTATCTTACTAGTAAAGCATATCATGTGTATAATAAAAGAACTATAACTATTGAAGAATCCATTCATGCTGCTTTTGAAGAGACTAACACTTCTATGTAAAGAAAAGCTTTTGTTATGATGATTTTGTAGAATCCGTGAAAGACTTGACATTGAAGAAACAAATGATGACAAAAAAGAAAAAGCAAGAAATGAGAATGTTCAAAGAAATGTGCAACCTAGTGAGCAAAATGATCTTCTTATATAATAGAGGTATGCTAAATCACACCTAATTAATGTTATAATTGGAGACATACAAATGGTGTATCTACAAGAAGCTTATTGAGGAATATATGCAATCATCTAGCTTTTGTATCTAAAATTGAACCCAAGACCATTGATGAAGTTATACTTGATAAAAATTGGATGTTTGCAATGCAAGAAGAACTTAATCAATTCCAAAGGAATGATGTTTGTGAGCTTGTCCCAAAACTGGATGATCATGAAGTGATTGGTACAAAATAGGTATTTAGAAATAAACTAGATAAAAATGGCATAATTACAAGGAACAAACCAATGTTAATTGCAAAAAGCTACAATCAAGAAGAAGAAATTGACTATGATGAGACTTTTGCTCTGGTTACTAGACTAGAAGCAATTCAACTACTACTTGCTTATGCTTGCATATTTGATTTCAAGTTATATTAAATGGATGTGAAATCAGCTGTTCTTAGTGGCTTTATTCAAGAACAAGTATATGTAAGCCAACAACCCAGATTTAAAAGGTATGATTTTCCTAATCATGTTTGTAAGCTTAAAAAGATATTATATAGTTTAAAGCAAGCCCCTAAGGTTTGTTATGAAAGATTGAGTAAGTTCTTTTCAAAACATGACCTCATTAGAGGTAAAGTTGATACTACATTATTAATTAAAAGAAAGCATGATTATACTTTACTTGTTCAAATTTATGTGGATAACATTATATTTTGGTCTACTAATGAATCTCTTTGGAAAGAATTTGCTAACATTATGCAAAGGGAGTTTCAGATATCCATGATGCTAGAATTGAATTAATTTCTTAGATTCCAAATAAAATGAAAGAATTTCATACATCAAGGAAAATATTGCAAAGAATTTCTCAACCACTTTGAAATAGAGAATGCAAAGCCTCTGGACACACATATGATTATGTGATGTAAATTGCTTTGAGTTCATGTGCAAGTATAAGATGCCTTGACTATGCTTCCAGGAAGCTAAAGCGAATAAATAAGTATATAAACCTAAATAAATTACAAGTTTCACTGAACGGGTACAAGAAGTAATATACATTATTGTAACTTGCACTAGAATATGATTCATGGAATTTATTTAAGGTGTAAATGCACCCTAGGATAACATCATATGGTGATTAACTGTTGTGCCCCTGCAATAAAATTACCAATCTATCCCTGTTTGACCACGTTGACCGACAATTACTTAAGTAACTGGGCCAATTACTCGAATAAATGACTTACTCGAATAAATAAAGCCAATTACTTAAGTAAACCAGACATGTGAACATCTCCAATTTTGATCCATGAATATTTTTTATTCAAACCAAGTTTAATGTCTTGTACATGTATAAATCCATTTGGGATGGATATTTGTGGATCCTATACAATTAAGGACAATCTTTATTCAATTAAAGGTGTCAAAACATGATTTGCAGTATGATTTGTTAAATTTGGTTCATTTTTTAATTAATAGATGCTTATTATATCATGTACACACATATTTAGACTTTATAGATGGGTTCGAGGGTCCAAAACAATTTGTTAAAATAAATTTTATGTACATATTTATGTTTATATGGCATTGTTGTTACAGATTTATACTTATTTACTTTATCTTTTCCAAAACCCATGAAAGAAGCATTTTTTTCAAAAATGTTTTAACATATAGGGATTTGCCATCGTGTAAATTCCTAAAAGTTATATCAAATAAAAAAAAAAAACACCTTATTCAAACAACCAAGCCAAAAGTTGTGTTGTTCCAAAGTTTTAACAATTTTAGGATATAAAAAGCATAAATGGAGATTGTTCTCAATTGTTTTGGATCCGCAAGCTCCCATCTCAAGCCCATTTATATATATACAAGACATTAAAATTTGATTTGAATAAAAAATATTTATGAATTCAAATTTGAGTTACTCGCTAGTCTAGTTACTCGAGTAACTGGCCTAATTACTCGATGAATTGTCAGTCAACTTGTCAAACAATAACAGATTAGTATATAATTTGGAAAATGAGGCAAAGTGGTCGTCTTTTAAAAACGCAAGGGCGAAAAGGTCAATCAACCTAACATCACATGTTAATTATTTCTGTGTAAAATAATTTCCTCATCCTCAAGTCAATCATAAGTCGAGGTTTCATTGGGTGTTCTTTACTGTCAAATGCATAATTAAATCTCTAGTTTGAATGAGTATACAAAATCAACAACTAACAGAATGAGCAAATAAAGATGATGGACAACCAATCCTAGAAGACAGCGATAACAGAATTTCAAAAAAAAGAAAACAGAGTCCAAGTCAAAATGATTGAGCCCATCATATCATACTCATTGTGCAAGGAGTATAACAGTTATTACTCTCTGCTCAGCAGCATCTAACAGGAAAGAATTAAAGATAATAAGATTATACAAGGACTTCTCCAACCAGTCAAACCAGTCAATACCATCAAGTTTTATAATGATTACACATTAATTGATGTAATTTTCTAATCAGTAAAAAGTCAATAAAACTTGGCAAAACATGCAGTTTTGGACTTCAAAAGATGCTATAATATTGACAAAACCCTTTGCACAATATTTGGCGAGCAACCAAGGATTTTAATTTTAAATTAAATAAAACAGAGAGAGAAAAAGATGGGCCAAACTATACACCTGTCAACAGAGAAAATGCACAAGCCATTTATCACAATAGATAATGAAGGAATTGAGAATACGAAGGGGGGAGGGGAGGGGGAATACATGGAGGATTCTTCTCTCCCATGCTCATCTTTGTAATTTCTTCGTTCCTGTTCTTTATTCGGACTGGTACTGTCCTTAAGATAACCTAACAGGTAGAACACTTGAACTTGCTGTTTGAACCGCAGAAGAATCAATTTTATTTCCAAATCTTTACAGATTTGTCATGACTGGCTGAAGCAACCATCCCCGTCACTGGTGACTGTGCTAGAGCTGATATCACACACTCATGAGCTGGTTTTGTCATACATTTATTCTCGGTCATGTCCCACAGCTCCAATGACTGCAAACCATTAATGAATCAAATCAAAACTTGAGGTTAGCAATCATGTGATATGCTGCAAAATATGTCCACAGTAAGTCAATATACAATGAACAGGATGATGTTTTCCAACGAAACATCAACAATAATGTACTGGCTTTTTCTGTGAACAGACATCAAAATGCAAACTAATGTTATGTAAACCTGATTGAAACTAACTATAATCCTATACATCTATATTACATTGCTGTTTTAGTCCTATCTGGATTCTAGAGTTCTACTCTACTAACCTGCTGCAACCATATTTCCGTTAACCTTTCCCACTTGCCATTCTAGGTTATTCTCTTAAACCTTCAGGCCTCTATAACGAATTTTCTTGTTTGTACCAAATCATTTATAGCTAGGGATGTAAATAGGCTGGGTTGAGCTAGCTTTTTCTTAAAGAGGATAGGTCTGTGTAAAATACTTTAGGTTTGACCTGGTCTATTAGCCTTGTATAGACCCAGATTATAAGTCTGATCTGATTTATATTTAAAAAAAAAAACTTGGCCTAGGTCTAGACCTGTTAACCTGCTTAAGCCTATTAGACATTCAATAATTAAAAGAAATTAATAAAATAATGTAACTTTATTATTCAAAATCATTAAAATAATAATTTATTATTTTATTTAAAACAAATAATATGATATAGGCCGACCTGCAGGCTTATAAGCCCGGCATATACAAAAAAGCCTATGCCTATGGCTTGCTTTCTAAATAGGCTTTTTTTGAGGTAAGCCTTTTCTACTTTACTATATATAATAGGCCGAGTCTGACCTGATGTAGGCCGAGCCATAGGCCCTGTTAGGCCGGATGGCCCATTTACATCCCTATTTACAGCCAACATCATATGTTTCCGCCATTGTGGATGATTCTCTTCAACTTATCTTCAATATTGCAAATCTTTACTACAGTTATATTTTACCCAGTTCTGTCAGCGTAACGACAAACCAAGCCTTATCCCAAAACCATACTTCGGAAGGAAGCTATCATTACCTCCTAGGTTTCCACATAGCTTCTGATCAAATGGACAAACTAGTAGCATTATCCATCTTGACATTAAATATATTTTTAGGCACCCTAAGGTTACTAAAGGTGTATTTTTCAAAGAAAAGGTATCAGGATTTGATTCCATGTAGGCGAGTGAAGAGTGTGACATCATGTAACAACCCACTGCACACGTGCCAGTAGGGATCATGAAAAGCAAGGAGGGATTTGACTATAAGAGGGAAAGAGTGAAAACAAAAAGGAGACAGAAAGCCTTGGGTTATTTGCATTTCTTTTACTGTTTCTACTAGTATGTTCTCTGTAACTCTGGTTTATAAGGAGCAGCAAGTGTGGTAGGGCATCTTGGCATGTGGGAAACCTAGGTTGGGCAACCAGATTGTGCTGGAGAAATCCAGATTTTGGAGATTTTCCTGGAGTCTCTTGAAAAAGCTCTAGGACTATCATTTTTGTCTTCCTTTTCATTTCCATTATAATTGTGTTCTGTGTGTCATCAGGGATTCTATGTGGTTTAGTAAGGAGCAGCAAGTGTGGTAGCGCATCTTGGCATGTGGAAAACCTAGGTTGGGCAACCAGATTGTGCTGGAGAAATCCAGATTTTGGAGATTTTCCTGGAGTCTCTTGAAAAAGCTCTAGGACTATCATTTTTGTCTTCCTTTTCATTTCCATTATAATTGTGTTCTGTGTGTCATCATGGATTCTATGTGGTTTAGTTATTTCCCTGTACTTTTCAGCTTTTGATGTAGTTTCTCATCGTTGTTGTTGCTGTAAAACCCATAAATAAATACATTCTGTGTTGATTTGTGTCTCGTCTCCCTTCTCTCCCTTCTCAAAGATGACTTATTTTTTATTTTCCCAGTCCAAATATGTGCGTCATCTCCTTCATCGAGCCAATATGGTTGAGGCTAAAAGGATCTCTACCCTACACCAGTAGCTGGGTGCAAACTCACAAAACATGATGCAGATTACTTTTAAGACCCCTGACATTTGTTTAAGTGAAAAAAGTGTGTCAGCTCAGCTCGTGTTAAAGTTAAACACATATTAAGGTATCTAAAAGGAAATATGTCCCATGGTCTTCTTCTACGACTTGCCAGTCCAGCCATTCCATTTGCTTTAGGAGCCTTCAAGGGAAGATGTGGAGACCATTCATTTACATTTTCCAACTTTCAACCTTGAGGACAAGGTTGCCTTTCCCGGGCATATTGTTTGGGGAATTAGTTGGCCCAATTGGTTAAATAGCAGAAATTGTATAGGGAGATTATGATTTGAGAAATAATCTGAACCAGAACATTGCTCAGTTATAAAGGGAAACCCGTAGAGGAGATCTCCTTGATTCGTTGATACTCAAAAACAAAGAATACCACTCTCTCTCTCTCTCTCTCTATCTTGCAATTTCTGCCATTTCTACATTTTGGTCCTTATTTCCCCCAAAGTTTCTCAGCTGGAAAACTCAGAAATTGGGGGCAAAGAAGTATTGTTATCCCCCATTTCAGTATAGTGGCCTCATCTATGGGCACGGTGCAAAAGCAAAATGCAATGGGCACCCTGTACTAGACAGGGTGAAAAAGCACAACGCGATGGGCACCCTGTACTAGCCTCATGCCACTCCAGCACTATACAATTGACTGTGTAAGGTGTAACATCCCGGGTGCTGACAAGGGCGGGGAGTGATCGCCGGTGCGAAAGGGCATGAACAAGGAGCGGCTCCTGGCAGGCTTTCAGTGATGGGGGTACATGAATGAATCGAATCAACACCCGAAAGAGAAGGTTTCCAGAGACTGTGCTGGTATGGGACGGTACAGTTGGGAATAGCTTATAAGAATTAATTGGTACTACCTTTACTAACAAGATGCATCTACTTTTCGGTATCCCGGAACGGAAGAACTCCATAGTTAAGCGTGCTTGACTTGGGGCAATTTTGGGATGGGTGACCTCCTGGGAAGTTTTCCCGGGAAGTGTGCAAGTGAGGACAAAGCACGTTGAAAAGTCTCGTGTTAGTGTGTGGGAACAGTCGTTGATCCTTGCAAGTTGCCAGGCGTTACAAGTGGTATCAGAACAGGGCCTCTCCTCTAGTACCGTGTGGTTCGAGGACGAACCAGGCGGAAGCTGGTGGGCATGTAACATCCCGTGTGCTGACGAGGGCGGGGAGTGATCGCCGGTGCGAAAGGGCATGGACAAGGAGCGGCTTCTGGCAGGCTTCCAGCGACGGGGGTACATGAATGAATCGAATCAACACCCGAAAGAAAGGGATTCCAGAGACTGTGCTGGTATGGAATGGTACAGTTGGGAATAGCTTATAAGAATTAATTGGTACTACCTTTATTAACAAGATGCATCTACTTTTCGGTAGCCCGGAACGGAAGAACTCCATAGTTAAGCGTGCTTGACTTGGGGCAATTCTGGGATGGGTGACCTCCTGGGAAATTTTCCCGGGAAGTGTGCGAGTGAGGACAAAACACGTTGAAAAGTCTCGTGTTAGTGTGTGGGGACAGTCGTTGATCCTTGCAAGTTGCCAGGCGTTACATAAGGAGAACAGAAAAGAAAAGAAAAATACAATAATGCATGATTAACTATGTAAAGAGAACAGAAAAGAAAATTACAATAGCAATATTAACTTAGAAAACAATCCCATGAACCAAAAAAAAAAAAAAAAAAACTAAAAAGGTGTTCATACAATACAGCTTGATATGGATAAGTATACCTGGTATCCTCCAATGACCATGAGATTGGAGTAGCTCGGGTGAAAAACGCAAGAATGAAACATGTTTCCACTGGAACTAAGTTCGTGAACGCAATTTCCATTGGCAAGACACCACACTTTGACAGATTCTTGACTCACAGATGCCAAGTAATCTCCATTTGTATCCCAGCAGACACACTGTACATCTGTAGAATGTCCCTAGAAATACATAAAATTCTAATTATTACTAGATTTAAAATAAAAAATAGGGCTGAAGAATTTTATTATTGCTATAGATTTCCTTTGGTTTGGTCTTTGTTTACACCTGTAATGAGTGCAACTGCCTGTCAGTCTCCACATCAAAGAGAGACACAACACTGCCAGATGCTGCAGCCAAACGTTGTCCAATCCTTGGCTGAAACCTCACTTGCGTGGATCCTCCCTGCGCAATTAATTTGATGAGGTTCAGAAGAGAGAATAAGCGAAATGCCTAAATCCATGGCATCTATGTTTATAAATCAAGTAAATTTCATTAGTGACCTTAAAAGCACGAGTACAAGAATATTGACTAATATTCCAGAAGCGAATCTCATTGTTAGCATCACAAGAACAGAAAAAATCGTTTTTCTTTGGGTGGAAATCAAGGGACCGCACATGTGACGCATGACCACTATATGCCTGTATCGAAAAGCTTGGCTGCAAAGCAATAGCTAAAGGTTAGTCCCAGCAACATGTACACTAAACTGAAAATAGATACTATTATATACAATATTAACATCTAGCTATAAGATTTAACACCTGATTTCATGCTCAGTCTCAGCACTCAATGACGAAAATATATTTTTAAAAAAAAAAATACCAAAATATTTCCCATAGATAAAACCAAGAAAAAATGCAGAGTCACCCTAAACGTTATGCCTTTAGCAAATATGCACCTTCAACTTTAATTTCGAACTTGGGGTTAACTTAGTATAGTGAAAATATCCTAACTGTTTGTCTTATTAAATCAAAACCATTGATTCATATTTTTTTATTTAAAAATCATATTATCTTGTTTCTTAAATTTAAAAAACAAAAGATAAAAACAAAAACACAAAACTTGAGACATTAATGGGAATGCTTGAATTGTATTTTTAAAAACAGTTTTTTTATTTTCAGAACAAAAAAACCTATCTGATAAGGCCTGTTTTGTAAAAATCATTCTACAAATTATAACTGTTTTTTAGTTTTTAAAATTAAATTTAGAGAACATATCTGAGTTGTTTTTGTTATGTATTGAGATTTAACTTTCAAAACAAAAAAAAAAAACACAGAAAACACTTATTTTATTAACTATTCTACAAAACAGTTTTAAGAACAAAAAATACAGAACACAATCAAACAGACCCATTATCTTTGTCTTTTTCTCCAAGATGAAGTTAAAGTTGAAGGTGCCTATTTGCAAAATGCATAAAGTTTAGGATAGCTCAATCATTTTTCCCTACATATCCCCCCTTTGAAAGAAGCTTTATCCATGGCTCCCACACTCATCTCTTATAATATAATTACAATCAATCAAAGAGCTAATCACTAGCTAATTTACAATCAATCAATCAATGAAATATATTTTGCTGAATATTCTGGAATCTGTTGGAGCTAAGGCACCATAAACAAGTAATTCAAACCAAGACTTGAATACAACCTCTTTTAATTGCACAGGTTGGAAACCTGAAAACAAATTATCCATTAAAAAAAAAATTGAGTCAAATAAGGGGCAGATGCATGATTATAACAACGCCCTTTCCCATGATATAAAATATTAAGTGCTGAGAGAGAAAAAAGACAAGCATATACTGAAAACTCTCTATCTCAACTACGGACTCGATATTTATATAATGAATATAATAAATACAAAGATACAATTTTCCTAAGTACTATATTTACATTTACACGATACTCGTTTCTAACAGTAACCAAAATTATAATGCCCATGGAGAGGGCATTTCATTCAATGGAAAGCAGACCTTTAATCTCATACCGAAAACAGACAAGGAAATATTTGAATTAACAGTCAAAAGATTATAACTAGTAAAAAGGAATTTACATCTGCAGCATCCCAAAGCCGCACAGTTGTATCAAATGAAGACGTTGCCAGTTGAGTTGAATTTGGTCTGAAGCGAACATCAGTAATAATAAGAGTGTGCTCCTCCGAAGTGCTCTCTGTTTGCAGTGTTTCCATGTTCCACAAAACAACCTAATAACATGATGGAATGAGCATTGGTATCTTTAAAACAAGAAGGGTCAGTTTATTATGAGGTAAAAATGAGGGTGAAAATTCTATGGATGTCTTGAAATTTAATAGTAAATTGTATTGAATCCTGATCCATGAATCTTTCACTTCCATTTTTATCCCACGTATCTAACTGACACTAAAAGTAAATTTAAGTTAAGATCCTAATTGTAAATTTCTTTTCAGATAAACCAGAAAAACATGCCAACACCCAATGGAACAGAAAAGAACTGTTTTATGCAATTCAGATTTAGAAACAACACCACACCTATTTTTTTACCGCAAGGAAGCCACCTTCTTGGAGTAACTTGTTCCTGATATTTTAGGGCACTAGGTGTGTCCCTTTTTTATAAATTTCTTTTTTAGAATATATGAAAAATATCTCAATATATATTACCTACATCTTATAATAGTAGAGTATCTTCTATGATCTCTTATAAATTGTTTCCTTGTTTCTTTATATTTCACAATTTATTTGTTTATTTAACTTAGGAATTGGCTTCGAATATGATAGGAGAAGAGTAAAAACAAAGAAGTTTTACTAAGGTAGAAGTCGTAACTTTTACATTCAAACAATAGATTTTTAAATTACAAAACTTGTAACTCTACAATAAAGACACTTAACACCACAATAAACTCACATAACTTCAGAAACTTAAAAACATAAAACTGACATTTAACGTTTGCTGAATTAAACCCATTAAAAACTAAACTGACTGCTGAATTAAACTGACACATAACTCCACATTTAATGTTTATTCAACAAAACTCCCCCGTAAACTTAAATGCTTCTGCCATCCTTCATGCCGATCAATTTCTTGTAGTTGTCAAGAAGTGTCGTCGGTAGCGGTTTCGTGAAGATATCCGCGACCTGGTCCCGACTTGCCACGTGTACTGATTCTACCCTTCCTTCCTTCACATGATCTCGGATGAAGTGAAACCGAACGTCAATGTGCTTGCTTCTCTCATGATTGACTGGGTTCTTTGCCAACTCAATTGCCGATTTATTATCAACTTGTATCACAGTCGCACTGAGTTGTTGTTGCTCCAACTTGCCCAACAAATTTCTGAGCCATATTGCATGACATACACACCAAGACACTGCCACATATTCAGCTTCACATGTTGAGAGCGTCACGATTGGTTGCTTCTTTGAAAGCCAAGTAAATGCCGTGTCACCCATAAAGAACACATATCCTGAAGTGCTTTTTCGATCGTCTAAGTCTCCACACCAATCGCTGTTGGTGTAATGTCCCACATCGGTTGGAGAAGGGAACGAAGCATGCCTTATAAGGGTGTGGATACCTCTTCTAGTGTGAGGCCTTTTGTGGGGTGTCCCAAGAAACAAAACCGTGAGCTCGAGGGCAAAGCGGACAATATCATGCTACAGGGTTTGGGGCTGTTACATTTTATGGTATCAGAGCAGTTTCGTAGGGAATAACTGTTAGCTATTGTTGAGTATGCTTAGTGTTTGATGCTTTATAGTTGTTTTAGTACTCTTTATGATTATTGCATTTGTGATCACTAAGTGTGGGCCTGATCAACTCACTTCTTTGTGTAACATGTGTAGTGACATGACGAGGCACCGAAACAACCCCGGACCATCAAACACCAATGCTCAGCCAGAACCTGTTTTGGCTGCTCTTGTGAGGCCTTTTGTGGGGTGTCCCAAGAAACAAAACCGTGAGCTCGACGGTGCTTGTGCGCGGGGCAAAGCGGACAATATCATGCTACAGGGTTTGGGGCTGTTACAGTCGGAGTACCCAATTAACTTGTAATCTTCTGAATTTGAATAAAATAACCCGAGTGACACTGTTCCTTGGATATACCGTAGGATTTGCTTCAACGCCTTCCAATGTGAATAAACTGGCTCTTCCATGAATCGACTTACAATGCCAACACTTAACAAAAGGTCTGGCCTTGTGCATGTGAGATAGCGAAGGCTTCCCACCAAACTTCGATATTTGCTCGCGTCGACTCGTTCTCCTCCATCGAACTTCGAGAGTTTTGCACCCGGTTCCATTGGTGTTGAAACTGGGTTGCAATCTGCCATCTTGTACTTCTTCAAAATTTCCTTTGCATATACTTCCTGTGACACAAAAATACCCGTCTCTCCTTGTCTTACATCCAGACCAAGGAAGAACTTCATCAAACCCAGATCTGTCATCTCGAATTCCCGTGTCATTGTGCTCTTAAACTCTTGTATCATCTCATCATTGTTCCCCATAAAAATAAGGTCATCAACATAAAGAGAAACAAATAACAAATTACCTCCACTCTTCTTCACATAAAGGGCATGTTCGTAGGGACATTGCTCGAACCCGTTCTCCTTGAAGTATGTATCAATACGAGTATTCCATGCCCGCGGTGCTTGCTTTAACCCGTAAAGCGCCTTCTTCAATTTCAGCACCTTCTTTTCTTCTCCAATTTTCATGTACCCAGGTGGTTGTTCGATGTAGACTTCTTCTTCGAGCACACCATTAAGGAATGCCGACTTGACATCCATTTGAAATATCGGCCATTTGAATTGAGCCGCTAGAGAAATGAGCAATCGGATTGTCTCCATTCTAGCAACGGGAGCAAACACCTCGTCATAGTCGATTCCCGCATTTTGCTTGTATCCCTTTGCAACAAGTCGTGCCTTGTACCGTTCTATCTCACCTTGAACATTCATCTTTCTCTTGAACACCCACTTCACACCAATGGGCTGACTTCCTTTCGGCAATTCCGCTAACTCCCATGTATTGTTGCGTTCAATTGCTTTAATCTCCTCGTCCATGGCAATTTGCCACTTCTTGTCTCGCATTGCCTCTTCAAAGCTTATATTCTCAGAATCCGACAAAAGACATACAAGGTGTACCTCATTTGTCGAATCATACAAATCTTGCAAACTTCTCATTCTGGGTTGTCGCGGTTCATCTTCATCATCAGTAGTTTCAGAATTTATCGGTATGGTTGTTGGTGTAACAATTGATGATTCTCCAACTTCAATGATAACCTCCGTTGAGTTATTCCAATCCCAACCGCTTGCTTCATTAACTCGAACATCACGACTCACCACAACCTTCTTGCTTATCGGGTCGAGTAACTTGTATGCTTTTGTTTTCTCATCATACCCAATACAAATATACCTTTTGTTTTTGTCTTCAAGCTTCGTTCTTCGCTGATCCGGCACGTGTGCATAGACCACACTACCGAATACTTTGAGATGACAGACTGTCGGTTTTTGTCCGCTCCATGCCTCTTGCGGGGTTTGATCATCCAACTTCGCATGTGGACACCGATTTTGCACATAGATGGCACATTGCACAGCTTCCGCCCAAAATTCCTTCGGCATCTTCTTGCTCTTGAGCATTGACCGAACCATGTCAAGAATGGTCCTGTTCTTCCTCTCGGCCACACCGTTTTGTTGCGGAGAGTACGGTGCGGTTAGAAACCGCCTTATGCCTTGCTCCTCACAATACTCCATGAAAACTGTTGAAGTATACTCTCCACCTCTATCGGATCGTATGGATTTGATGTGTCTACCGGTTGTCTTTTCCACCATCACTTTGAACTTTTTGAACACCTCGAACGCCTCGGATTTTTCTTTTAAAAAATAAACCCAAGTTTTTCGTGAGAAATCATCAATAAAGGAAATAAAATACCTCTTACCGCTAAAAGATTCAGGGGTGATTGGTCCACATATGTCAGTATGAATCAACTCAAGAGGTTGCTTAGCCCGATATTCTGCCTTCTTTTGAAACGAAGTTCTCGCATGCTTGCCGAGCACACACTCTTCACAAAACTTTCCCTCGTAGTCCATGTCTGGTAGCCCGTGCACCATGTTCTTCTTTGCTAACTCGTTTAGACCACCATGATGTAGGTGGCCAAAACGGAGATGCCACAGCGACGCCTTGTCTTCTACGTCTACCTGCAAACATTTTTCTCGCACGCTTTTCAAATTCAGCTTGTACATGCGATTTCTCCCCATTTCAACTCGAGCGACCGAACGCCCTTGCTTATCTTTCAAGTGTAAAATCCGGCCTTGCATAAGTACCGAATAACCTTTCTCCATGAGTTGCCCCATACTCAAGATGTTGCTCTTGAGGTCTGGTACGTAATACACATCTTGGATTGATCCAATTAAGCCATCCTTTTGTAAGTAAAAAATCGTACCTTGGCCTTTGACCTCAACCTTCGACGCATCTCCAAACGACACATGTCCAGTTTCCACCTTTCGCATCTCTCTGAATAGGTGCTCGTGCCCGCACATATGGTTGCTTGCACCCTTGTCGAGGTACCACACCGTGTCATTGTCGGTGTTGCCTTCATTGTGTGTCATCATGAGAAGACCTTCTTTCGCCTCATCTTCCGTGGCTAGGTTGGTTGTCTCTTCCACCTTTTTCTCGAATCGACATTCTTTCGCGAAATGCCCCACCTGGCCACAATTGTAACACTTATCAGAGTTACAATCCTTTGCATAGTGACCATATTTGCCACACTTGTAGCACTCGATGTTGGAATAATTTGACCGACCGCCTCTCCCACGACCGCGTCCTCTTCCACGCCAATTCTGTTGGTTTGATTGCCCCTTCTCCTCATAATACCCTTCTTGACCGCGACCTCTACCACCACGACCATTTCCTCGACCTCCACGGACACGCCCTCTACCTCTAAAGTTTTAAGAATAGAGTGCCTTTTCATCTTTGATTGCTGCCTTGGTTTGAAGTGCTTGCTCGAGTGCCTCCTCCTTCTTCTTCTTCTTGCGTTGTTCGTGTGCCTTGAGAGAACCAGCGAGCTCGTCGACCGTGAGCGTTGCTAGGTCCTTTGACTCTTCTATGGCACATACGACATTCTCGAAGTTGTCGGTTAATGACCTCAAAATCTTCTTCACAACTCGCGCATCGGTTAATGCTTCTCCGTTTCGGTTGAGTTGGTTCACCACGGTTTGAACACGCGTGATGTAGTCAGAGACACCTTCCGACTCCTTCATCTTCATGCCTTCCAACTCGCCGCGAAGAGTTTGAAGGCGGACTTGTTTAACTCGATCTGCTCCTTTGTACACCTTTGCCAAAATGTCCCACGCTTCTTTTGAAGTTGTCGCACTCGCAATCTTCTCAAAGCCCGACTCATCAACAGCTCGGAACAACATGTACAAAGCTGCCTTATCTTTCGATCGCGTCTCTTTCAACGCCTTGTTTTGAGCCGCCGTATACCCTGCGATAGTTGTCGGTTCTTCGAAACCTTCTTGGACGACCTCCCAACCGTCTTGAGACCCGAGAAGAGCTTTCATTTGGATGCTCCAATTCTCGTAGTTCGCCTTCGTAAGTCGGGGTAGCGGCACATTACCGGTCATACTCTCCATTGGCTCTGATACCAATTTGATAGGAGAAGAGTAAAAACAAAGAAGTTTTACTAAGGTAGAAGTCGTAACTTTTACATTCAAACAATAGATTTTTAAATTACAAAACTTGTAACTCTACAATAAAGACACTTAACACCACAATAAACTCACATAACTTCAGAAACTTAAAAACATAAAACTGACATTTAACGTTTGCTGAATTAAACCCATTAAAAACTAAACTGACTGCTGAATTAAACCCATTAAAAATTAAACTGACACATAACTCCACATTTAATGTTTATTCAACAGAATATAACAATAAATAGGGATTAGTGCTTTAAAGTTTGTATTACATCATAACACATTAAATCAATACTAATTTCATAGTAGACGGTCTTCGGTCTCTCTCCTTTCTTCCTTCCCGACCTAGATCTATAATTTTAACATGGCACCCTCTGTGACCTGTCCCATCATTATTTTGTTGTTGAGTTCCTTAAAATCCAGAGCTCAATTTTATTTCTTGATTAGTTTATTCCTTTCGACTAGAATCCATTATTTCCCGTCGATGTTTGATGACTTTTCATTGGCCAAGGACACCACCATCAACCTCTCCTACAAATTGACCAATCTTTGGTGGTTTCAAGTTGATCTGACCCTATCTAACCATTTGTTGCCGCTACCCCTATCATTCAATGACTTTTTGATGGAATTTTTTATCGACGAAAACTTTGTCGACTCATCTTGGCCAGATCAGCACATCGCCACCATTTTAAGGTTGAATGGAGGCTCCCCACACTATTCAGATCCACCACTGGCGGCACGTCATATGTATCATGCACGCTTCCTTTTCCAATGCATTAGATCCACATGCCACGACCCAGACCACATGTGGCATTGTATCCAGCCACCACTCAATCTTGTTTCGGCCTCCACAAGTTTGTCGTGCTATTCTATGTCAAGATCATCTACTTAGGGAAATCCTTATTAAATCTCCTATTTAGGGATAGTATATACTTAGGATTTGATTTGTATTATTTTTATTAACTTTAGTTTTCTTATCTTCTTAGTTTCCTAACGTTAGACATTGTGAATTCTTAGTTTCCAATGATTAAAGATCATAAATCATGCATAAATAGAAGGTGTTTGTTGCTAAGAATTTCTGCAAGCAATTCAAAAATCCCTCTTCTACATGGTATCAAGAGCTGGTTCATGCTAGACATGACATACCCTTATACATTGGCAGTCCAAACAAACCCTACATCATCCTTTTTAGTCTTCTAGTCGCCATCTAAGCTGGTACCAAAATAACCATAAAGCTTTGGATACACCAAGAAACCTCTTACCAGCCACCTTTCCAAGCATTGTGACCGAAGCATCTTCCATGCTCCCCAATGTCATTTTGTCGAGACGTTAATCTCATGTGCGCACATACTCCACCCTCCCAGTGTCAAATCTTCACACCTCTATCAACCTTCCCTTCGTTCCAATAGCCGACACCGCATCTTATCCAGCCACCACTGTCGCCACCGGAAAACTTATTGGCTGCAACTTAGTATCAACTCCAGCCACCTTCTCAACCGCCCTTCCTGCTGCTTATGCATTTTCATCCGCTGCAGCGTTGCAATCGAGTGTCCAAGCGTGTGCATGACTTGTTTACCCTTACGTTCTGTCGTAGTCTCCTCAAGCCTCTCTTCCCAGATCTGCCCAGCTTTCTCCTCCCCCTCCCACTCAAACTCCATTTGGAGCGTTGCAATCGAGTGTCCAAGCGTGTGCATGACTTGTTTGCCTTTACGTTCTGTGGTAGTCTCCTCAAGCCTCTCTTCCCAGATCTGCCCAGCTTTCTCCTCCCCCTCCCACTCAAACTTCATTTGGTGTGCTTTAGTCTACTTCCAGCACTATTTGTTGCCTGTCTAGTTAGTTCACAATCTTCCCTCGTCTGATCATGTCCTAACCTTCTTCTCTATTGCCCAGTCTTATTTTAATGTTTATCTTCTTGTTTGGTGAACCTGACATAGTAGACTTCGCTCATTGCCTTCTTTCCTAATCTATCCAATGCTAACATAACATTGAAGGGGAGAAATTTGTAAGGTCTTTGTCCCAAATACAATATGACCGTCAATCTTTGTTCTAGCATCACCATCCCCGATACCCTATCTTCATCTAATGAAAAGTGGAAACAAGCCATAAAGGAGGAGATGGAGGCATTGGAAAAGAACAAAATCTCAGGAATTGGTACAATTACCAACCTGAAAAAACAAGCCAAGCTTGTCTTGGAGACTGACATGTTAGGTGGACAATGCAGCAAGTTTGTGGAGGAAATAAGAAATAAGACTCGCAAGTAATGCATGATGGGCCACCTAAGGATATATCTGGACACAAAGGGTCAAAGCGAGCTAGCTGTGGCCAATTTCAGGCTAAGCAATGGCCGAATGCAAAGCCATGCACAATATGAGCCTTTGCATGCGAAGATGATGCACAGGAGATGTGAATTAAAGCATGTGGCTGGGCCTACATTAGTTAGACAATTTGGGTATGTGGAGCTTAATGGTAGGGTTACCAACTAGAGAAGAAGTGACGACAAACATTTGATGGCTGAGGTCAAGTAAAGTCTTTAAACACGATGAAGTCGCAAACAATAGGTCAAAAACAGGCTGCAATGATGGTGGCAGCTACAATGGAGACAGACTAGAAGAGGGAGCAATGCATTGAATTTGCTAAATTAAATGATAATGCATTGCCATATTTGCATCTACAAAAATGTCCCGAACCACCAAATTTCTAACCTTTATCGTTGAATTTATAGTTTGTTGTTTTATAGTATAGGAGCCCTTTCTTGCTTTTCCTTAAATTATCAAAGAATCCACTGTCGCCTTTTTTGTGAATCTTTATCATAAAAGCACTCAAGAACAGCATGAATTTTGCTCATATGATCTAAAATGTTCATAAATATATCTCTTACCTCTTCTGACACTTGTTCAAATGGAGCAACTTCTTTGTGTGTTCCGGCAAGATGATGTTTCATCCTAAATGCTCCTCCCCAACATTGTTTTGCGACATTAGTTACATTGAACATTTCACCTAGTCTCAAGGGACTTACAATAATCCCAAGCAATATCTTTCTTCACTTCCTTCTTTTGGAGCCATGGCTGTACAACTCTATGAATTGGAATATGGCAAGGGGGGGCAAAGGGAAGAGAATTTCTGCTTTCTTGCTGGCAAAGCATGAGAGACTTTCTTTGAGATGTAGGAAGAATGGTATAGTAGAAATTGAGATGTAGGAAGGCAGGTTATTTTTAGATTGAAAATCTATGAGGTAGTAGTTTCAAGGAATATAACTGCTAAGATTTGAATTGCTATTGCTAAGATTTATTACTAAGATAAGGCAAGTTGTTATTGCTATTGAGATTTACAATTTATGAGGTAGTAATTGTTATTGAGATTTTAGAGGAAGGGATGCGCAAAACACCACAAGACAGAGGAAAGGATGCATAAAAACTAGAGGATCTTGAAATGGCAAAACACCACAATTCACGATTTCTGAACCATATCGCACGATGCTGGCAATTTGTGCAGTGATTCCAGCCACTATGCAATTTGTATCATTTTGATTGTTTGATACGATAAGAATCATGAATCGCACTATTCTGCAACACTTGATTAGCGTTTTTGGCAGAAAGCAAAGTCTCCCACCGGGAGTTCTGGTACCCCAACTTGAATGGAGAAATACTGAATATTAATTCTAAAAAGTAATATTGTACATGGGTTATAGACCTAACTAAACCAACGACTGATGTATGGTAACAAAATATCGTACAATAATTACAATAAATTATAGAGAATAATAAGTGGTAGAAAATTTAGGAGTGATGTGGGATTATTAGAACATTAGAAATTAATCTAGTTAGGTTTTTAACATGGAAAAAATGGAAATAAATTTAATATCTTTAATTTACAATTCACCAGCCAATATATTATTTGGTTAGCAATAGTCTCAGAACTCTATCCAAATTCTACTATCCGCCTTAAAGCCCTAAAATTAGGGAATGAAATGCATTCTACCTTTTTGTCATGTCCAGCACTAGCTAATAATTTCCCATCTGAAGAGAAATGACAGCAAACAACTTTGCTGTTGCTTTTGCGTATAGAACTAACTTCGCTAAAGGAAAAGCCTGAAATGGAAGCAATAAAGCCAACAATGCAATCAATGTGTATACTAAAAATTTATAAAAGCATAAGAACATTAGATTACCTTTTGAAGCATCTGTAGCATGCTCAGAAGGGTTCCATTTCAACGTGCCAAACAAGTCCCTTCCATCACCATCATCCTGTGAGAGAAATGATTCCACATTATCATCTAAGGAGCCAACATCTCCAAAATGTTCCATGTCATCCTGCAACTAAAAGAACATGAATTATAAGGTGCTAGTCATCATCTGTAACTTAAAACAATAAGATTCAGCAATCGATGTAGTGAAATGAAACATAAAAAATTTATGGATATAAAGGATAATTTTCCAAGTGTCATATTCATTTGCAAATCAGGAATATTACAGTACCAAAATTAGTAATATAAACATTATAATCCACGGCCTGAGAATCAATGTTAGCAACTGTAGCATACACAAATATGTCTGGCTCAAAATCCACCATATGGAAATCATAAAAGTAATGAAATAGCATTAATATTATATAATTCAAGTATCTAAACATGTATCAACATACCCCTACTTTATAATATAAGTGCGGTATTACTTTTTCTTTACACCAAATATTTTATTCGGAAACAACATATGCATGTAAAGTACGTTACTTGTTCCCCCAAAGTTACAAAATATTCAATTTCATTTACCAGCTGGTTGGAAGATGCAAGACCACCACCTCCATCAGTACCATACATTATCAAACCTTTGGCTACACCAGCAACATTCTGCAAGTTACCCGCCATAGCAACTCCATCACCAGGTGTATGAGTAGATGGAGTTGATGGTTGAGAATTAGAAGGGCCAAGTGTATTTCCTGTACCAGTACTGTTAGCAGCTCCAGAAGATGTAGGCCCTTTCCTTTTTCGGTGATTCTAAAATATAGTAGACAAACAGTCATAGCATGCAAGAGAAGCATACAAATAAAAACTGCTAGCTTATATACTTTTGGCAAAGGAAAAAAATAAAAGTATCTTAAGACCGATACCATCATAAATACACAAAAAAGCAAAACCTGTACCAGTTGCTGTGGATGCAAAGGATCTTGTTGTTGCTGGGAGGTGGATTGTTGGATCTGTGGCATGTTGATCTGCATCAAAAACACAAAATAACCATATCAACAAAAAGAAGAAATATAAAGGGTGTTGCTATAAGCCTAAAATGATGTTAGAATGATAGAGCCTAACTCAACCTCAAAAGCTAGTATAAAGAACCAATTCAACCCAAAAGCTAAGCTGTTGGGTGAGGCTACATTAGCGGTTTTATATATCTCAACACGCCCCCTCACACGAGAGCCTACTGGGCTTGAAGGGTGGACAATGCACAGGCCCACCTACCTGTGCGAATAGAGAAATTCCACTAGTTGAAAGAAAGTGGGAGGCAGCGAGGATCGAACCCGGGATATGAGGCTTTGATACCATGTAAATAACCAATTCAACCCAAAAGCTTAAGCTGTTGGGTGAGGCTACATTAACGGTTTTATATATCTCAACAGCTAGCTTAGGGGGGAAGGATTGCTCAATCATTATAAAGGGTACTTTGCCCATATAAGATGTGGGATCTCTCAACACCCCAGCTCATGACTAGGACATTATATCTAGAGCATGATCTTTAACACCGCCCCTCATGCCTAAGACAAGTTATCTGGAGCATGAAGTTTGCAAGAGATTTCAACATCTACAGGTGGCCCAGGACACAGGTTATATGGGTAAGCTCCATAGTTATCTACAGATGGCCGGTCGCCAACCCCGAAAAAGCTATAGCAGTATAGCAAAATATAATATAGATATACCACACACATAAATGCTTAAAAATAAAGACATTCATAATGAAACATATAATCACTATCATTCCAAAACAAATAGAGATATTTTAATACTGTCAATTGAAAGAATCTAAATAGTGAGGGTATTTGAAACAAAATATGTTAAATAATATGTATACAAAATTTTGTCAGAACAAGTTCTAAAATCATATCTATAATATAGAGAAATATGAGTATTTGAAACAAGTTATATGTATAATATAGAAACAACTATAATATAGAAACAAAATTTGAAACAGAAACAGAGTAGGCATAAATATAATATAGAATCAAAAACAGAGTGGGTATAATTTTTTTGACAGTGCGAGCATGATTTTGACAGGGACAGAAACATAATAGGTATAATATAGAAACAGAAACAGAATGGGTATTTGAAACAGAAATAGAGAATTAAATCCATGGGTGTTTGGCACAGTATTTGAACCCCCTCCCCCCTCTCCCCTTTGAAAAAAAAAAGTTAAGAGATGAGAGAGAGATGAGTACCTGTTATTTACACAAGAGAGAAAGACACAAGGGAGAGAGGATCAAAGAACATAGGAGACTGAAAGAGATGCTTTTCAAAGAAGAGAGTAAGAGACATGAGGGAGGGTAAGGATCGAGAAATGGAGAGATGGTTCAGGGTTTCATAAACCCGGTAATGAGACAAGAAGACCCAAAAAAATAACTACTAGAAAATTAAACAGGTTCAAATTTGGAATTTTTCGCTGCATCATTGTTGCGGCGCAATTGCATCCGCAACCGCCACAATTTGGCCGCAATTGCACCTGATATCAAAGCCATAGACCATGTGGTTCAGAGATCAACCCTTGTTAACGTCATTCTTTAAATATGTCAAATATTAGCCCAAGGTAGGGTGAGCCAATGTATTGTCTACAATACAAGAAAGGACTTTTGTGTGAAGAGGCATACTAGATATAAAAACTATTCATGTGCTTTACCTACTAGTGACCTCAAGAAGTCCTATGTTTTCAGACAGAGCCTCATGCGTTGCAGCATGAGATATATATGCCACAGAGCGACTTTCACTGACGTGCAAGTTATGCATTTAACAATGCATCACATGCGTCGCATCACAAAATATGCATGCAATAGCACAGGTGTGAAAACCTTGTTTCCAATTTTTCTTATATTATTGCATATCATTTTAATACTATTGTTTATGCATCAAATAATGGACTAAGAATGAATCAATTTCCTAAGTAGACAATTAGACTTCGGACATAATGGATTTAATCAAGCATAGATTTATCACATTCATGTAACATGAGGCTAGGAGGATAGAATAAATGATACCTTAGATGAAGTGGATTGCATTGGAGACCCTATTGATCCATCATTTGCAATTGGTTGACTGTCTTTCGCATTCAAAGTTCCCCTAGTTAATCCCCTTAATCGTTGTGGGTCCATATCTCCATACATTGCCGAATTGCCAATATTTCCTTGTGCCTGGACCTGTGCAAGGAGCTGCTGTTGTTGTTGTGGCAAAAGCTGAAACTGATTTGCACCATGAAGGAGAGGCTTTTGAACTTGTGCTCCAAAACCAGGACGCATTTGATCTATGCCCTAGATAACATGATAATTGATTTAAATTGGATCAGATATATTGATAGATAGAAAGTGAACTCAAGGCTCATAGCAGAACTTACAGTTAAAGGCCATCCTTTCAATGTCAGACCACCAACTCCTGGAGTTAGTCCTGAAAAAAGAGAAGAAAGAGAATTAGCAAAACCAAGCAAAATGATTAGCCAAAGAAATTGTATAGAAATTATGTGATTTTTATAAAACAAGAAATTAGCAATTTATATTGAAGAACTTTATGTAAAATGAACAAGTGCAAATACCTCAAACTATAAAAAGCAGAATAAACTAAACTACCATGTTTTGTTGCTTGTTTTACATGATATAAGGTGGTGGAAGTCCAAATTTATTTTACATTCATCTCATCTTTAAATTGCTTTTCTCGTGTACTAATTCAAACCTGCATTGGTGATTCCAGGCTTTGACTGGATTCCTCCCTGCCCATAAATTGAAGAAGGATCCATAGGCGAGGATCTCTGTATGGTGCCCATATTGACTTCACCTTTGATTTCCTGTTGAGGAGGAAAAATTGGAAATCAGCATCTTAAACTATAGAGAAAGGAACAAAGAAAGTAAATGCATACAAAGACTAAGCAGAGCAAGCACGTACAGGGGTTTGCTGAGTTCGAGCCTGGATTTGCTGCAAAGCTGCTGTCACACTTCCTGAGTTTCCTTGAACCATCTGACTGTTTGGTCAAAAGGAAAATAAATTGTAAACATGTATAAGACTACATATATTTCAAGTTAAATAAAATTTACCAATGGTTTTACCCAGGATGGTTTGTTGATTTCAAAAGGGCCATTCTAGCATCTAGAAGTGGTTGGGATGTCTCTGTATCCATGGGGTTTTGCTTCATCCGTTCCTCATACATTTTTGCAGCCAAAGCAGTGGCAGTAGATTGCCCAAGCACTCCTTCAGTAGTAATAGCATTTACAGAACCTCCAAGGGGAGGATGATTAGGATCTCTTCTTTGCAGCTGAGCCTGACGTACTAGTTGCAACTGCTGCATTTGCAGTTGTTGTTGTTGTTGTTCCTTCGCTTTAATATGTTGAGCCTGCAGCTCACCAAAAAAGGGAAAACAACTACTTGATATAAATATTATCAACAAACTACCATTTTGGTGAAGGCTTAAACTATTAGGTGAAAGCTCATGAACATTTTTATATCTAACACCGTTAAAACCACGGAAAGAGAAGGGAGGTACCTGTAAATATGCATTAGCAGCCTCAGAATGTTTATCATTTGTCCTCGCAATAAAAATGTCCCAGAAAACAGACCACCACTCAAAAAGAAAACCTCCAGGAGCATCAATTGCTGCATTTTCGAAGAGTTAGCTATAATCAATTTGATGCATCCGAGCTGACTAACGTGGATTGATCTTTTCTATAATTTATTCCATAGTTTAGGGCTTTTCAATAATTGTTAATTTTTCCTTTTTGTTATTTTAGATTACGTTTGAGTGTGCGTTGATTGTGTGTTATCTCCTTTGATTGCGCATGATTGTTCGTTCTTTACTTTTTATTTTGCCTATTTAAGGCTTGGAGAACCATATTGTTAGGAGGTTGTTATTTTGTTAAATAAAATTAAGAAAAGAGAAATAGTATTTTTTCGCAATCCTTGTGTTCGTTCTTCTTTCTGTTTAGTCAATTGGTTACTACTTCGGCATTATTTGGTAATCAGAGTTCTGGTTGTCATATAAATGGCTGAATAGAACCATGGCGGTCGAGGTCGAGGTCGAGGTCGAGGTCGAGGTCGTGGACGACGAGGTCAAGGCGACGGGAGCGGTAGAGGGCGTGTTAACACCCTTAACGGCGACGGCGAACAACCACACATTGACGTGCGAAACACCATAATTGTAGCAATGGCTGCTAAAATGGCAGAACAAGGTAGACGAATTCAGGAGCTCGAACAACTGTTTGTCCAAACACAGACAAGTCAAATGAAGGATGGGAATCTGAAAGATCATCTCATGAGGAGGAAAGGAGATTCTGGAACTGGAACCAAGAGCGACTAGGACTAAGTCAACCTGGAAATCAATCCTTTTTTGCTAGTATTGGGGTGAAGATTGAGATCCCGGAATTCGAGGGCACCACTCATCTAGATGAGTTTATCAACGGGTTACACACTGTCGAAAGGGTCTTTGACATCAGAGACTTGACAGAAGACCAGAAGGTCCCGATCTATGATAAATATGATGAAGATCAAGATGATGAGAATCCCGTTATGGATGCTCCAGTTTATGATGAGTTCCCTATCTATGATAAGTATGATTGGGAGCAAGACGATGAGAATTCAGAGGTGGAAGAAATCTCTTGTACTAATTTCGGTGAAAAGTCAGTTATTAGAAATTCTAATATCTCTGACAACAAGGAAGTTCTACCCAAAGATATCATGCGGAATGATCCTTCGTTCAATAAGTCTTTAGTGCGGTATTATGAATTTGGGGACAACGAGCATAACAACCTCATGCTCCATGGAGATAAAGATTTAACTTTTGGTAAAAGTTTAATTGGAGATCGTCAGGGGCAATGGGAATTGCTGTTACATCAGACGGAATTTTCCTATGACAGATCACAGATGCGATCATTGATCCAAACTGCAGGCAATAGTCCTCTTGGAATAATTTATGGGTTTTGTCCATTTACTCCCTTAGAACTCGGAATATTTCTAGTTCTCAAGCAGTTTAATACGAATGTAGATGAATATACCAAGCATATCAGAGAATTGCATTCACAAGTCATAATCTTAATTAGAAAATTTGGTGATATTGTACCAAAAGAGTTGCCACCTAGGCGAATCTTTGAAAGAAGTTCATATCAATGAAGCCGAAGCAGATTCGAGAGCGAATCTTTTCCAAGTGGGAGAGAATGATGCACCCGAACTGACTGACTTGGATTGATCTTTTCTATAATCTATTCCATAGTTTAGGGCTTTTCAATAATTGTTAATTATTTTCCTTTTTGTTATTTTTAGATTATGTTTGAGTGTGCGTTATCTCCTTTGATTGCGCATGATTGTTCGTTCTTCTTTCTGTTTAGTCAATTGGTTACTGCTTCGGCATTACAATTGTGGTACATATACCCTATAAATAATTCACCCAGGTGATGTACACAAACATTGGCATTAGAGAATACCAAATAGGGCATAATTAAAAATGAGCACTAACTAATCAATTAATAAGATAACAATATCAAGCAAAAAGTACTTGAGAGCATTATACTACTAGATTAACAATCTCTCACCTACTGGATCAGGAGCAACCTTCCCTTCCATCATGAATGACTTGGCAGTGTTATGCAACTTTTTCTTCACTAAATAATCATATATGTAAACATCAAGCCTAGCAGCAAAAGAGAACACACTATGATATAAATGAAATCGAAGTAAACAACAATAACAACAAAAATAACCATTAAATGGGATCAGCTACACAAATCAATCAACACCATTAGCTCTATCAAACATACATAAATGTACTTACATCTTATCTGCTTCCCAATTACTCTGCGCCATGACTGCAGCAAGGCACGAAATTTGACAAGATGTCAAACAAACGAATTCAACAAAGTCTCACACTAAACTGAAAAAAAAAAAAAAAAACCGAATCACAAGTATTGTAGTATAACAGAATGCACGGGCATCCAACCTCAAAACACAACAAATAGATGGATCAAAACCCTACATTAGCAATCCGGTGCTGCATGCACCAATGATCACCACCAATCGTTCTCAATTTCAGAAATCACAAAACAAGAATACTCAATTCTCATTAAAAAAAAAAAAAAAACAGAGCCATTAAACAAATTGTATAAATTTCGTACCTTGTAACACTGAATCGCTGAAAGAAAGATCGAAAGTAATAGAAAAAGAAGAGGGAGAGTGTGAACTGGTTCAACAAGGTTTTTAACAGTGGAAGATGAAAGATGGGAGAATTTGAATGAATGGGGTTCCGAAGCTGAGGTTCGTTGCTAAACCGAAGCTGAGGAGGTTTGGGAGTAGAGCTCCTGTTATGATTAGTGCGGATGAAAGAGCTTATCGAATCTGCTTATCTACCGTTGATCAAGTCAACAAAACACGTGTACGGCTATCTCAGATTTAATTTTTTATTTGTTTTGATATTTTTTAAATTAAACACTTTTATCGACGACTAAAAGGGTAATAGTTTTATCACGTAGTAGGAGTTAATTATTATCTAAAAGAATTTAAATTCAACAAGGTTTGGGAGTGGAGTCCACTTGTAGGAAGAGAAAGAAAGTAGAGTAGGACCTATCTTGAATTTATGTGTGTATGAGATAAATTCTTTCTTATATAATATAAGAATAATAAATCCCTATTTAAAATTAAGAGAAGAATGTTTGTACTTTTAAATGATATAATATTATGATATTTTTTATTCTAGTCATTGATTTACATCGATTAACAGTTATAATTTATTAAGTCAAACTTATTAATTAATTAATTAATAATAAGTTTAACACAATAAATTTAACATAATAAATTGATAAAAATTAACAATTAAGATTTAAGACGAGATAAGAGGACAAATATTTTTTCGTAAAATTAAATTCAAACGAGTTATGATAATTCCTTACTCACCCTTACCATGCGTTATAAATTATCTACTTGGCATCGACCATTTGTCATCATATTCTTGCTTTTTTTGTATTTTTTTTATTCTTTGTATATCTAGTAGTCATGGAGGAGCGTTAAAATAATTTATGGATAAATTAATGTTGAAGGTTTTATTTGTCTCTATTTCAATATAAAATCTCTTTCATTTTTTATATCATTGGTTTGCTCATAAATAAGTCAAATCTTATCACATGATATAATTATATTAAATAACATTAGAGGATTTTTTATTTTTATTTTTATTTTTATTTTTTTAAGGGAGAAAAACATTACGAGTGTGTCTAACATGTCAACAGTAACGATGAGACTAAAAGTGTTCATTTTTTAAAAAATAATAATAACCAGTAATTATTTATGGGTAAAAGATTTTTCCAATCAATAAAGATAAGTCATCTCCGGTTAGCACAAAATAATGTCATTTTGGGAAGAAACTAAGATGTTTTTGTAATTCTAATATATTGTAGAGATATATTAGTCTTTATTATTATAATTTTTTAATCTTATAACACCAAAATGATGTGGTTTTGAGCTCACTTGAGATAACTTTTTTTTGGTATGCTCGCTGGAGATAACTTTATCTCAAGTAGCTGAAGAAATACTTTTCTCATTATTTATTTAAGTGGTCAGAATTTTGTTTCTCTTAATTAAAGAACATGATATATAAATGCATACAATGGAAATCTTGGAAAGACACAAAACTTGTCAAAGAAAAAAAAAAGCAAAAAAGGGAGATGAGGACATACTATTTGAGAATTTCCCAACAAAAAAATTAAATAAAAATAAAAAATAAATCACACACATAAAGATATGCCCAATAAATAAGAACAACGAGATATGTAGATACATACAATACACATAAGTCAAATTATATGTTATTTTTTTCAATGAAAATTTAGGAAAGACATAACTTAGTCAATGCGACAAAAAAAGAACAAAAAGTACAAAGAATAAGAACTTAATATCAATTGCGAAAGTCTTGAGAGTTGATGATGAGCAATGGATGGTTTGGATGGGATCAGAAGTTGAGAAGGAGGGAAAAGAGTAGGGAAATTTGGCATAGAAGAGAATAGGGGTGGCGACGAAGGAATTTAGGGTTAAGAAAAAAAATATTTGCCAAGTCAAAAATATGAAAGATTGAGAAAAATAAGAAAACTTAAAAAAATCATATGATATTATTTTATTGAAAAGCAACAAGATATTATTTTATTGAAAAATAACAAGATATTATTTTATTAATAAAAATATTATTTATAAAAAAAATATGACCCGAACCTAGAAGCTTAGAAGTCAGACTTGCTAAAATAGGATTGCAGCCTGATTTCTAAAGAGGCCTTTTAATGAGTTCAAGTTTGCAGTATTTTTAAAATGGGATAACCCAAGTCAAGCCAAGCTATAGGCCTTTGACAATAAATTACACAAACCAAAACTTAAAATTTAAAGGGATTAAAACCAAAATTTGGTATATTATACACGCCGAAAGAATATTCAAGCCTTATAATGAAAATGTTTTTTAAGAAAATACATTCAATGGATAACAATTTATTGTATTGATTGTGTTTAGGCTCCATGGTTATATTGTTGAAAATTGGCAAAAATTGATAAATCTAATAAAAGCTTACCAAATGGACCAATGAAAAAACATCTAGTTTTTTTAATTTATTTATGTTTAAAATAAAATAGAAAAAAAAGGTTTAATATTGTTAGTATGTAAGTGTCCTAGAGACAATCTGTTATATCATATGAACACCTTTTACTGTTTGGTATTTCATGATTGATAAATTTGAACACATTTTATCTATATCATATTTATGTATAGCCTATATTATACGGTTGATATGCGGTTAAAGATAAAGGTCCTAGGGATAAAACAGATGTTCACTCGAGGATCTACGATAGGGATCATGATCATAAGGACTCAAGGACACAACATGTCTATTGCCTAAAACTAGTTCCTAGTCTTGAATCGCCAAGATAGGACATTGGTGATCTTAATAAGACTAGTACAACATCATCTACTTGTATAGAGATACAAGGTAGGGACCTTATGGAATGCAGGCATGGTGATGCCTTAGCTGATGTCGCAAGTGGATCTATTAGAAAATAGATAGCACTCGACTGACCCGAGTAATGCAAGTAAGCATCTTAGATTTGGATCCACGAATATTTGTTATTCAAATCAAGTTCTAAAGTCTTGAACATATATAAGTAGACTTGGGATGGGTGTTTGCAGGTTCAAAACAATTGAGGAATATCTCAATCTAAGTTATGTATACCCTAAAATTATGTAAACTTTGGAAGGCATGACTTTTGGCTTGGTTGTCTGAATCATTTTTTTATTTCGCGTAGCTTTTCGAGATCTACATGATGGGAAATCCTTGAAAAATGCTTCGTTCATTGGGTTTTGGGAATGATAAAGTATATGGGCATACATCTTTAAAAGCAATCCCACATGAACATAAATATGTACATAAAATTTAGTTTAGAAAATTTAGTTTTGGATTAACAAAAAACGAACCCAATTTAATAATTCATATCGAAAATCAACAAAAAATTATGTTTTGACACATTGAATTGAATGGGACTACCCTCAATTATAAAGGACCCAAGTCCATTTATACATGTACAAGACATTAGAACTTGGTTTAAATAAAAAATATTTGTTGATCCAAGTTTGAGTTGCCTACTTACTTGAGTTACTCTAGTAACTAGCACAGTTACTCGAGTAACTCACGGTCAATGTGGTCAAATATGGGCATATTGGTGTATAGTCTTGATAAAAGGTTAAAATTAATATATAGTTTTAAAATGGGGACAATATGGTAAATTTTTTAGAAATAGGGGCACATTGGTCAATAACCCCCTTATATGTCGACAAAAGATAATATTATTTTTTGTTTGTAGAAAAATATTAAATCATAAAAAGAAACCAAAATGTTAGGTTTCTCTGCCTTTCATGCAATAAAATCAAGAAATGTGTTAAATGTTTCGACCTCTATATAGGGCTTACTCATGCCATATTTGTTTTAAGCCAAATATTTATGTAATTGCATAGTCAGTTATGATGGGTAATAAGAATATTGCCCCTTTTTTTAATTGTGTAAGATAAATTATGTAGAGAACAAAAATTTATTGTAAAACAAAATGTAATGTGAGAAGTGATAGTTAGAGTTGTTCCTTAGAATCAAGCCTAATCGCATGGGATTTGAAACAAACGATATATTTATGACCAGGTAATATACTTGTTGAACAACTATAATGGCCTCAAATGTTGCTACTATTGAAGACACAGACAAATGCCTGTGGGCCATTGAATTCCTCACTTTAGCCATTGGACAACAAAACATCTACTAAGCAAACGCTAAAAAACTCATCAACCGCCCTTTTACAAAGAAACTATTGTTCGAGTTGCTCTCACATACTAGATCAACAATATGGAGTAGTTGTAAAAAGTGACAAATTACCCCAAAAACTATAAAATTAGAATCAACTCATTTTATTTGAAAGAGAAACGAACAGTTAGTGGTCTACAGTAAGGACGAGCTAAGCATTTATTTGTGAGATGTTTAAGAAAAGAATCCATGACATATTTAACTCAGATGCAATTAAATGGTAAAAACAAGAAGAGTTTTCAAGGTTTAAGATGCCAATGTAGGAATACACTGACAAGTTCATAGAGCTCTATTGATTTCCTCATAATCTTATCTCTTCAAAGAGGAACAAGGTAGGAAAGTATGAAAAAGGGTCAACTTTCAAAATTCAGAAATCCATGAGAGGTATACTATCACAAACCTTCCAGAAAGTCTTTGAGAAGAGCAAAAGAAAGATGTTTGATGGTTATTCTCAACATACTAGTGGAAATAAGAAGGCTTATCATGACAATAGGGGCTAGTGGGCTACAACAAGAATGGATGAACACCCCAATGGTACAAGAATGTTTGCAATGGTAATAGTTGTGATAATCAACCTAAGACCTAAATACAAGGGCTGATGCCGTACCTTTGTATAGGGTATGGATAGGAGGTACATCCCAGGAGGAAGTTCCTAACGGATGTAAAATAGTTTAGAGACATGAAGTATATGATGTATTTGACTCAATCACATGTATAATTAAATTTTAAGTGTATTTTATCATATGCTTTATTTTATATCTGCTGCGATAGAATCTCAGTAAAAGTCTCGTTCTTTTATTTAAAATAAGAATTAAGAAGTAATGTGATATCCTTTAAGCTAGTCGATTATAGGGGATGTTACATTTTATGGTATCAGAGCATAACGATTCAGGTAAATAAAAGACTTAAATTAGATATTGCTTGGTATTTTGTCATAGATCGTGCATATTTTGAA